TTAGCAAGTTCTCTGCTTAGTTCTTTTGTAGCAAAATTATTTTTTCTACATTCAAATTCTATTTCTTTTTTTTCCTAAAAAGTAGATATAGATTAAGTTATTTATCACAAATAATTTATATAAAGTCAATATATATTTTTGATATAATAACTTTTAAAAATGTTTTAGAAGTTAAAAAAATAAAATAAAAGCTAATCTTTAGAAGAATACCCACTTGAATTGATCTTTTTGTGGGTTCCCCCCGACAAAACAAACTCTTAACCTTTTTTAACAAAATTAGACAATTTAGTTGCTAAACTATGTCTAGTTTTCACATTCGATAAATAATTACTCATTGTGAGTACTGTTATTAGAAATAAAAAAATAGTACATATTATTAAAAAATATTTGTGATTAGATTCTTTTTTATGAAAAAGTTTTTAGTATATAAACGAAGAAAATTTGAGGTCTCGGGTATATAAACTGAATAAAAACCTGCTTCTTTCGTTTCTTTGTTTTAAAAATATCTTTCCTTAACAAAAGCACATATATTAAAGATAATAATGTATCTACCCACTGGGCACGGACGTAATAAAGACGTTTTTTAAATGTTTTATACACGTTTTGAACAACTTTTGAACGTCTTTCGAACGTTTTGGACGTCTTTTGAATGTTCAAAAGACGTCTTTTTTTGGTCCGTTGCCCACTGGGTATGTATTTGCCAAAAATAAAAATTTACAATCGTAGTTTATAAAAGAAAAATGTATATGACTGGGGCTAGAATAAAACAAAATTAGTCTTATTATTAAGCCCCGAAAAAGATAAAATATCGACTACAAGATCAAAATAATAACCAAATAATTTGATCCCAAATTTATTTTAACACATATGTTTAATATGCATAATCGTTGAGTATGCATAATACGCATTATAAAAACAAACTTAATGATATTTTGATTACTAGTATTAATTTTTCAAGGTAAGTATTACTCACCTTGAGAATTATATAGTTGTTACAACACATTCTCAAAAAACAGGTAATTATTTACAATAAACTATAAAATGCACAACTAAAAGTCTCAATTGTCTTACCAAAACATTTTCAAATTAAAAAACACAAAATAGAAACTCAAGTTAAAATTTAATTTTACATAGGAATATCAGTACGCCGTATTATTTTAATTAAAATGATTTTAGAGATGTACCCTATTGGTCAACTTTAAATTATGATAACTACGCTGTGTTTGTGTATAAATATAATAAAAACAAAATTTGTGTAAGATTGATAAGAAGAATCACTTGTTAGTAGTTATAGGAGCTCACAGAAGACTTAAGTCAGTCTTGTCATCGAGTACCTTTTTCTGAACGTGTAATACGCGTAAAAATCAGTTGTATACGTGTATATATATATATATATATATATATATATATATATATATATATATATATATATATATATATATATATATATATATATATATATATACGTGTAATATATGTATGTTGAACATAGATACCTTGTTTGTAATATTATTATTATTATTATTTTTTTTATCGATGTGTATTAAAAGTCAAGCTACATTTTTTTAAATTTTTTATTAATATTTTAAAAAAGTTCTTTATAGTTGTTTAATTTATTTATTGTAAATTTTAGCTTTATTTTCAGAGAGTGTTCGTTGTTTAGGTTTAATAGTGATTCGTTTCTGGAAACTAATTTGTTAAATAAATAGGGACCACGATATGTAATTGAGAATTTTAAGAGTCTTGTTGTTTCAAACGGTATCTTAAAGTTGCCTGTTGCTCTTGTATTGTATTTATTTATATTGTTTTGAAAAAAGTGTGCTGTAAAATGTTCTGGAACCAGATTTAGTTTATATTTAAACATGAAAAGTATATTTTGAAAAATATTTATTTGAAATATATTTAGTGCGTTCATTTGTTCCAATAAGGGTTAAGCATGAGCAAATTTATTTTTGTTGTATACTAGTCTTGAAGCGTGTTTTTGACGTAGGTGAATTGGTTCTAATTTAGATTTGTGGGTACTGCCCCATGCTATATTGGCATACATCAGGTAGCTATGTATGAATGAAAAGTAGACAAGTTTTAGACTTTTTTGTCACAAAAATGGTCTTGCATTGTATAGTAAACCAATGTTCTTTGATATTTTTGAGTTAATGTAGTTTATGTGGGGTTTCCAGGAGGTATGTTCGTCAATTAGAACTCCTAAAAACTTTGTATTCAAAACTCTTTTGATGGTTATATTTTCTATATTAAGTATTGGTAGGTTCAGAGGTATTTTTTTAATTTGTTGATTAATTTGTTGGATTTAAACCATATATTAACTTTATTTAGTTCAGCATTTGTTTTTTCAAAAAGGTCTTAAATTATCTTTCCTGAGTAAAATAAGTTTGCGTCGTCTGCAAACATTATAGTTTTAAAGATATTACAGGCATTTGGAAGATCGTTTATATAAATAAGAAACAAAAGAGGAGCAAGAATGGAACCTTGGGGTACACCACATTTTGTTCTGAGTAAACTTGAGTTGCTTTTTTATCTATAATAACACACTGTTGTCTGTTATTTAGGTAGTTTTTAAACCAACTTAAAGCTTGATTTTTTACGCCATAGTTTTTCATTTTTTCCAGTAAAATCTCGTGGTTGACGGTGTCAAATGCCTTTGACAAATCAATAAAGATCCCTAATGTGATTTTTTTTTTTATTGATCTACTTATCCTATTCGATAGGTCAAGGATTGCATGCTCAGTTGAGTGTAGCTTTTGAAAGCCATATTGACCTTTATTGATTATTTTGTTCGTTTTTAAATATTCGTTTAATTTATTATAGATTATTTGTTCTGGAAGTTTTGAGAATACCAAAAGGATTGAGATTGTTCTGTAATTGTTTAAAGAATTGGTTTCTCCTGATTTATAGATTGATATAATTTTAGATATTTTTAGTTTATCAGGTACAATACCTATTGTAACTGATGAATTAAATACTTGGAAAATTTGATTACGTATCTCCTAAAAAACATCTAACACTACTTTGCAAGATATGTCATCGATCCCTGGGGACTTAATTTTAAGTGATTTTATAGTTACTTCAAGTTCGTCTTGATTTATTTCATTGAAATTTAAAGAGCAGTTTGAGCCTGTTAATTTACTTTTAAATGTATTTTTTGTGCATTGAATTTTTGATGTAAGATCAGCACCAATATTAGCAAAGTAGTTGTTAAATTCATTTGAAATATCTCGCTCGTTATTTGATTCCCTTTCATTAATTATTACTCTAGAAGGCATTTTGTTAAAATTAGTTTTACTTTTACCAATTATTTCCTTCATAATGTCCCATGTCTTTTTTAAGTCTCCATTAAATTTTTGTATTTGATTAGAATAGTATATAATTTTGTGTTTTTTTTTTTTTAATTTTTCTCAAATAAGTTTTTGTATTGTTTGTAGATGGTAGGTTCGCTTCGCTTCTATTTTTTAAGTATTTTATGTATAGTTTTTGCTTTTGTTTTGTGGATTTTCTTATTTCTTTTGTTATCCATGGACAATTTGTATATTAAGCTAATAATACTTTCATCTATATATTCAAATGCATGTTTAATTCTTCCTATTTGTTTATCTGCATTATTAACCGCATAGCATATATAGAGACTCCAATCAAAATCATTCGAAAAATACCTAAATCTTTTTCAACTTCTATTTCCTCTAGTATAACTTTATAAATTTTGTATTTATATTTGCGGCCGCGGCGCAGTGGTTAGAACGCTTGCTTTAAAAGCAGGAAATCCATGTTCGAAACGAGCTTTTGACATATTTCGCGTCACGGTATGAAAGGAGTCGTGAACTTCCTGGTTAAAAAAATTAATAAAGTTGATTTATTTAACATTTATTTATTTATTACAACAAGTTTATTTATTACAACAAGTATTTAACATTTGTTTTTAGTTAATATTTAATTGCTTTAAAGCAAATGAGCAATTTTTTTTCATTACATCCGCCGGCAAGAGGCAAATATTTCCGCCTCCAATTTGACGACCGCAGCCAGTTAGGAGGCAGAAGCCATTGGAGGCGGCCCCCAAATGGCTTTGCCTCTAAAATTTCTTCTGGAGGCGGCCACCATTGGCTTCCGCCACTCTATTGGCGTCGGCCTCCAAAACATTTTGCCTCCAAAAAAGAACTCCGGCTGCGGCCGCCAATAAAAAAGCGGAAGTCACTGGAGGCGAAAGAAAGAACATTTTGCCGCTAAAAATTGATCGGGAGGCAGCAGCCGTCTGCTGCGGAAGAAAAGTGGAGGGACGAAGATTTACGCCGTTTATCAACACTGGATTTAAACACAACAAAATTTTAAAACAATGTTTATATTAAACGGAATCGCTTTTTTAATGCTAAAAAACGTTAAAACGTTAAAAAAAAAATCAAAATGCAACTAAGTCGCAAAATACATTTTGCCGCAAAATATTCTATGGAAGTAAAAATTTCATAATGGGAGAAAAATTTAATATGAGATTTTCAATGGAAAGTAAAAATTTAAAAAAGCGATTTTTACTGGTGGGTAAAATTTTAATAAGAATTTTACTAGGGAGTAAAAAAAAAAAAAAAAAAAAAAACGCGGGAGCAATAATCTTTAGTATTTTAGCCTTGATACAAGATATGATTTTATAAAAAATGGAAATAATTAGAAATATGTAATAAGCTAATCTAAATATGTTAATTAGTAAAATGTCGTTCAAAGATTCTCAAATAATTTGATATTAAAATTAAATTTATTTTCTTTTTCGACGAAAAAAAAAAGAAGAAAGAAAGGTTTAGCGCGACGCCTCCCTTTTAATTCGATGCTGGCTAATAAAAATAATTTAAATGAACAAGTGAAAAGAAAAAACTTCATCTAAGTTCATAATGTATGTATTTTTATATACAAAGCTTGTTTTCAACATCTCCTAAGAATTAAAAAAAGTTGTTTTTTTTAATTTGATGTCAAATACTTTTAATAAACAAAAATAAAATATTTCGATATAAATAGCAAATCAAATCTTATCTTTAATAAGCTAATTAATGTTAAGCATATAATTTTATGATACGTTTGACCTAAGAGTTTAAATATTTACAAGTATTTAATAATTAAAAAAAGAAAAAATCACACAAAGTAAAATATAAAACAATTTCTTCGTTAAACCTAAACAAAAAACAAGATTTAAAATTGAAATATGAAAGATCAATAACAAAATGTAAATATAATACATTAAATGCTAAATTGAATAAATACTGCCTGTTAATATATTATCTACATTGTCTATATTTAATATTGTCTTAATATTACTAATAAAAGTAATATTACATATCTATATATAATATTGTCTACATTGCCTGTCGCTCTGTAGACAAATAGAAGTCAAATGTGACACGATATACTTTCCTGGGTCTTTTTATCGAGTAAAAGGTCGAGATAGAGGCTTGCCTAACACATTATACAGATGTAAATTGCACCCCGCTACTACCGTATATAAAGCCTCCTAGATAAAGTCTTTAGGTGTAAGAAGAAATTTTTGTTAACAGCTTCGCACGCCTAGTTCTAATAGGCTGGCTTAAAAATGAAACCTGTGATAGATTGTTTCCAGCCTAAGATGATAAACAATTAATCTTCTTGACTTACTTTATGAATTTTAGCTTGTATCTTTTTTTTTAACGGCTATGGAACTCTTTATATTATCTCCTAATGAGGAAATAGCTGTAAAACTCAATGTAATAGTTCCAAAACGATGGTAGTAAAGTTTCCATAACTCAGTGGTAACTCTCAAAGGAGCTGATTCCATTAATAGGTGTAAAATATCATAGTATGAAGAGTAAAATATTGCGCACAAATGGTAGGGGTTCGTTTACCTAGGGCCGAATTTTTACAATGCCCAAATTCAAGGCCCCAGACTTTTCTAAAAATGGTGGCACTGATATGATCATATCTTTATGCTAATTACTTTATATTAGTATAAGTATATTGACTTAAACTATTAAATTTCGTCATGTAGAAGGGATTAAAAATTTGTGACCTTAGCTACAATAAGCTTTTAAGAAAAAAAAATCTGCACCAATCAAAATTCAACCATCTACCTTGTTATCAAACAAAATCTTTCTGCACATGTGGCCCTAGGTACAAGCAAACTATATGGCCCATATGGTACAAGAAATGATAGCCTCATGAAAAATGTCACATATTAACGAACCATGATTGAGAGGAAACCTAATAAACATCGCATTTAGTACTTAAGTAACAAACAATATAATATACAATAACTTATAGAAAAGCATTTCCTTTAGGATTAAGAAACAATCTAAGATACCAGTGGCAAAAACATACTTTAGACCATTTTTATAACTAATCACCTTACTGAGAAGCATTACTTAGAACTTTATAGTTTTCAAATAAAGTGGGGTGGCCCTAGGCACACAAACTTCTTCTACTTTTGGTTTACTTTGTCAAAATCGCATGAGCCTTATTAAGGATTTTGGGTTTATTAAAGAGAAACAACTTCATAGCTTAATACTTAGGGTTCCAAATACTGTTTGCATATATCTTTTACAAATATTAGTAGTTTTCTAAATCATTTTTCACTTTACAAGCATGCAGGAAATTACTTCAAATTAATTTCCTACTATTTTCTTACAAATACCTTAATGTTGACTGGATTTTAGCCAATAATAGGTTCCATTCTTAAGCTCACTTCACTTATCATCATTAATGATCTTTGTTACAATCTTACCTTAAAAGTGGTTCTATTAGCTGGTGATACTATAATATACTCTGGTCTAAATATGATCTAACATATCCAAAATTTTTACAAGTTTTTTTAATGACAGTATTAACCTAGTAGCATAATACTGAACCTTTTCAAAAAAATTCTTTTGATTTTTAAAATACATAGATCACACAGACAGCAATTTTAACTGATGATCTAACAAAATATGAAATATAAAATAACAAAATATAACTTTTAGCGATTAATTACTGAAATCTAAAAATGTATTCCCTTAACCAACAATTTATTTTCTTTGCACATAGAGGATTTATTTGATTTTTTTTACATGGAGTTATTTGATTTTTTCATTTTAAGTCAGAGCAAAATACCACAAGAAGATCCTTCTCAACAACAATACTTAAAGATATATTTCACATTAAATAGTTTTTTTTAGTGAATTATTTGCAAAAGTACACAATTAAACATTACTTAAGATTTTCAAAGCTATTCATTAAAACAATTGACAGCTAGGTCATTTTGCAGAAAGTTAATACTAGCTACAGAATCAATTCTTAACAATACTTTTAAATCTTACTGAATAATAATACTTTTGCATACATCTTAGATATATTTACATAATTATCATGCAGCACACCACTAAATATTTCTGTTCAACTGGTGACGAAAATAATTTTATAATATTCTGTTATGGGAAACAAAATCAAATGCCTTTGCAAAACTCAAGTACATTATACCAACAGGTATACCTTGAGACAACAAGATCTGCTCGAAATTATTTATCAGTATTTAAATGTTCTAATCTGTTTAGAATTTCTTAGTAGAAGATTATATCAAAACCAAAATTTTTTTAATGCATCTAGACAAAAATGTCAGCAAATTATTATTAACATTATTTTCTTGAACAAATACATCTTGAAACTTGTTAACAAGTAAACTTACAATCAGATTTGAGTCATTTATCAAAATTCAAGTTCTTTAGGTGATACTTATTAGGTGATAATCATTAGGATTTTTCATAATTTTGTCTAGTTTTTCTTTACTCTATTTTGACTGTCTTGCAAAAATATGCAAGATATGTTATTTTTTATCCTGAAAAACCATTATAAAACTAATGTTAAAACGTTAACATTGAAAAAAGGTGTTTTTTCAATGTTAATAGTTTTATAAGCTTTTTTTCCATCCAAAATATTCTTTTTATTTTTGTATTTGTTCCTTATTTGTTGATTGAAATGTATAGTCTATGTGCCACGCTCATATAACAAATATGCTATACTTTTCTTGGACTGATTTACCATTAAAACAAATTAACTAATCTACATTAGTAAACAACAATTGAATCAAAATCTGTTACCATAATTGTGTGTAAAGACTCTTTATTTATAAAACTTTTAATTTATAAAACTTGCTCTAACAAATTTTATAACTTAATTTAATAACCCTTTTTTTTATATTATCTAGAACTGGGACTGATACAACTTTTGTACTTCTGATTCTGTCGATATATGGAATACTGTTGTCATATTTGGGCTAGACTGGAGTTTTCTTTTTTACACAAGGTGCAAAAGTCATAAAGGCAAAACATTTATAAGACATGCTTGAGCAGTTAAACCTCTATCATATTGGTATAAAGTTGCATCCGTTTGTCTTTTCTTTTCAAATACTTTCAAGGTAGTTGTTCAACTAAGTAATTATATCTTTTTCCATCTACCAAAATTTTTATATATATATGTGTATATATATATATATATATATATATATATATATATATATATATATATATATATATATATATATATATATATATATATATATATATATATATATACAAATAAATATATATATAAATATATATAAATGTGTATATATATATATATATATATATATATATATATATATATATATATATATATATATATATATATATATATATATTAAGTACCAGCAATTTTTGGTATTAAATTGCTTCAAGATGGATTAACTCAAAAATAAAAAAGTCTAAAGTTAACTAGTAGCTATCTTATTTGAAAAATCAACAAACCATTTAAATGTTGCAAATTTTTTTTAGAATTACAAAGTAATGTGTCATCAAAAAAAAATTTAATTTTTCTGCACTAAGTTAAAGTTTTCAAGCTAAAAAAATTATAAACAGAAATAACTGAAATTTTTTGTTTGTTAATTGTTTAAGATCTAAACCCAAACAGGTTGCAACTACTGTTTTATCTAAATATAAAAATAAATTCATCTATTTATATGGCTTTTATTTAAAACTACCCATTTTTACTGAACCCAAACATATCTGAAAAATTATAAAAATTAAAAAACAAACTATTTATGTTTCATAGTATATACAAATATTCGAAAAAATGTTTCACGCCAAAACTCATCTTAAAAATTCATTAATTATAACTCACTCTAGTTTATGTTTCTTAATGAATTATATGTAACAAAATTAAATTAAGATAGAATCGAGAGGACTTGGAACTTTCAAATTTTGCAAATTATAGTTTTATGGCTTAATAAAGGTACTCCCGCTTGAAGCAATTGATTTTTCTAAAAAAAGTTAAAAATCGCTGGGGCCTAATATATATACACACATATATAGATATAATACATATAAAAGACACTTTAAACTTTTAAAGCTGAAATTTGGCTAAATGCTTACCTTGACTTTATTCTGCACTGGCAAATATAGTTTAAACTCTGCTGGTAATTCATCTTCAGAATAAAGTCGATCCGAAAAGTATACACGTCTTATTCGGCAATTTGCATGAATCTATTATGAATTAAAAATTAAAAACAATACATACACACACACACACATATAAATATATATAAATTTATATATATATATATATATATATATTTATATATATATATATATATATATATATATATATATATATATATATATATATATATATATATATATATATATATATATATATATATATATATAAAACCATAATGGAATAGCTTAGTAACATTAGCACTTTAGACAAATAGAAAGGCCAGACAGCCTGATTAAAAGAATTGTTATTCTAAAAAATGTTTGCTAAATATTTGATTTAATGCATATCCTACACATTCATGTTTCATATTTTCTTTAATACTCTTGAGTCCCTAATAAAAGGGGGGGGGGGGGGGACATTTATTATTCTTTTGAAAATACTCCCACCCACCCCAAGCTTATTAAGACCCCTCCATTTATTAATTTTTACTTATTATCAAAAAAAAAAAAAAAAAAAATCATTGAAAATCGGCCTTAAAAATTTGAAAATAATTATTTCAGTCAAAAGAAAATTTTTCAGTGTAAACAGGCTTTAAAAATCACCGACCAAGTAAATCTCGATTTATCAAAAATGAGCTTATTATTTATTTTTCATGAAGGTATACAGCTTATATCAACATATTAAAATGCTATTGAAATTATTAGAAAACATCTGTCAGAAAATGCGCATTTGACTGAAAGTCGTATTTTATGCGTGTTTTGTAAAAAATATTAGTTTGGATTTATAAACTGAAATTTTTTATACTGTAATCTTATACTGTAACATAAAAAAATTCCCACCCCCCTCTTTTTATTATAACACCTCAGTTATTAAATCTGGACTAAAATTCCCACCGCTCCTCAGGGTTGGCAAAAACCCGGCCCAGTGGGTTTTTTTTGGGTTTTATTGGATAAATTTGGGTTTTTTTTGGGTTTAATTTTTATTTTGTCCCTGTAAAAATTTTTGTGTGTTTTTGTTTAATGATATTGAAAATTAGTTTCATTTTCTACTTTAACTTTATTTAAAATATATTTTATATATTGTTGTTTAATTATTTATAACAAGAATTTTTAAAATTATTTTGAAAAAGATTTTTAAATATAATTTAAAACTGTAATAGAAAAAAAAATTTCACGCTTAATCTATATATATTGATTTATTTTAAATTTAAAAGTATTATTCTATATAGTTAAAAATGTCAATGAGAAAATGGGAAAAAGAAGGTTAGAGAATGGGAGGTAGTAACTGAAGTTTCAATTAAACTTTGAACTTGAAATTCAAATGAACAAACTTGTTCCTCTGCACAGCAGCCTTGTTTATAAAGATTTGTGTTTAGGAATTAAAGAGTTTTTTTTTTTTTTTTTAATCAATTCACCTTCTTAAGGCTTAAGGCCACTACAGGCGAGGAGGCTACTTATTTGTGGTTATAACCCTTTCTCAACTCGATAACTCAGAAACACGAACATTGACGCACAAGGCCGCTGCGTGGAGAAAGGAGTTGAGCGCAGTACTGCCAGGGACATAGTGGGGATCGAACTCAGAACCTCTCACTTATGAAGCGAGCGCTCTACCACAACACCACTACCGCGTAAGAGTTGAGAGAGGATTATAACCACAACAAGGTAACCTCCTCGACTGTTGTGTTGGCTTCTCTGGTCACTACTACTCATTTAAATTCAACTTGGGAGGTGAATAACATAAAGTAATAAAAATCTCAATTGATAAAAATATTTGAATAAAAATTGTAATAATGTATTTCCAAATAATGATTCAAATAATAGTAAACCTGCTCTGATAGCTGTTATTGTTGGTTATAATAGTTAATAATAATAGTTAATAATAATTTAGTTAATAAAAATTTAGTTAATAATTATTTTAGTTAATAATATTATAGTTATAATGTTAAAGTTGGTTATAACAGTTCATAAACTTATTAAATATCTTTAAAAAAACCCAATAAAACCCAGATTTTCCAGGGTTTTATTGGGCTGGTTTTTTTGGGCGGGTTTTTTAATGCCAACCCTGCCGCTCCTTGTATTAAGGACTCAAGAGTAAACTTATAATAAAAAATTGTATTGAGAATATTGTAAAATTGTATACCAACCTGCACACGAAGTGTTTCTATATAGTTAGTTCCATAAGCTCTTCTGGTAAAATCAAGTAAGTTGAACTATAAAAACAATACTGTATATACAACATTTCAGAACCCCAAAAATGAAATAGCAAAAATGTAGTTAACATTTGAGCTTATAATCAACACCAAGAAGAAACTTGCAAATTAGTTTTCTCACATAAGTGTTAATACATAACATAACTTTACTAATATGTCTTAATATAAATACAATGAGTATTATAATTACTTATGCAATTAATAACCAACTATCCTAAAATTATAAAATTCAGTAACCAACTATCCTAAAATAATACAATAATAAGACCAACAAGACCAACATGGAGTACTTGGGGGACTGGATAGAGAAGATATCCACAATAAAATTCTGTTTTGGTTAATCTATTTCGTAGTTTTTTTATTTATTATTATTATATTCTAATAAATACTTCTGTTTATTGACATATATACATTTTTTTAACTAAACGTAAGGAAATAAGAAAACTATACATTACACATGATTACATATACAGTATACTTGAGTTTTTTAATGTATGCCATACTTAACTGCACATTTAAGTTGATGAAACTGCATAAAATGAATAGGCTAAAGCTAACCGTTACCTTTGTAAACTTAGAGTGTTGAGCTCAGTGTTACATGGAAAGTTTGCATAGCAGTGTGCCATATACTTTTCTTCATTCTATTGACCATAGCTTAGGAGTTTACTGTGAGCAAACAGGGGAAGCTATTTATTGTGAGTTCAAAAAAGCATGGAAGAGATATACACATAGAATTAACCGTATAAATTATGCAAAACAACTAAAATCTAGTGTTAAGGAATTTAAAACTAGATTTTAGATTGCCCATCGTTACTTTTTATAAAAAGTTTTGTATTCAGCAGAGTTCTCACATATTCTAGTCATTTTTCACTATAGGGCTAAGTGTAGACAAGAATTAATTTGTGTAAATAAAAGTAATATTGTAAACATTTACTATTGATAACATTTATTTTTTTACTTTCTGATAAAGCTCACGTCGATATATACACCATTAGATTTTTCTCTTAAATTGAATACTTTTTTTAAAAAAATAGACGCTTTTTTACAATAACAAAGTATTAGCAAATATAAAAAAACAATTTACAAATTATTTAAAACCTTTTGCTTTTAATGTGTTGTAACTATTACAATCTTATTTGTTACAGGAGCTTGAAAACTATTGTATTGTATTGTAATTATTATTAATTTAATTTAAAAAAATGAAAACAAAGTCTACCTGAACTATGTTGTCTTCCTATTAATTAGATTTACAAAAAAATTCATATAAAGCCCTGTTAGATTAGTTTATAATTTACTTGCCAATTAATCACCTTTAGCGACAATAACTGCCATACATATTCTTGGCATTCTACTTAATAACTCATCCAATTTGTCAATTTTCTCCCACTAACTAATAAGTTTTTTCTTTGGTTTCTTTTGAAACCAAAGATTTAAAACTTTGACATGCCAATCCATGTTTACAGTCATTGGTGGTCTATTTTTTACGTAGTTTTGTCCACATAAGCATTTTTATTATTATGATTTATTTCAAAGTATTTTAGTCAAAATACTTTTATGTTTTTTATTTATTTAATAATGCAAAAATAAACATAAAAAATAGCGTTTTTTTAAAAAGGTAATGTCATTTGGAATAATTATGAATAGTAGTGTCAATGTCAATAAAGCAGAAGTATTTATTGGAAGTAATAATAAAAAATAAAAAAACTACAAAACATAAAATAACCAAAAAAAAGTTTTATTGTAGATATCTTCTCTATATCCAGCTCCCCAAGTACTTAGTTTTGCTGGTCTTATTATTATATAATATTAGGATAGTTGGTTACCTCTAAACTTTACTGGTTCCAGACAAAAGTTTAAAACTTTGTTTCAATTAGAGGAGCAATCTTTTGAGTTTTAGATGACTTAACTAAACTGTGTGAAACAAAAAGCACGCGTTTTATTTAAACATCCCACAATTGTTTACACAATTTATCAGTTTCGCTGATTTTCAACAGTTTTTGTTGAAAATTTATAAACATTTTTATGATTTAAAAAACTTAACTTTTAAACAAATTTTTTACTTTGTCTAACCCCCCAGAAGTTCTAAATACTGTAAATGGTGTTTACTAATGTATATCTAACTATTGGAAAAGAAAAAATAGACCTGGGGAAAAACTTACCCTGGAAGTCACTCTGATCCACAGTGAAACTATTAATTACATTTTTAATAAACAAAAAACTTAATTATATCTATTACCATAACAAATATTGATACAAATATATCAATCAATATTATTGGCAAAATAAAACAACTGTAATTTCAATTTAACATTTAAATACCATGCAAATATGTTTGCAAAAGTGATGTTTTATCAAATATATTTCATGATGAGTGACTTCCTATATTATGTGTTAATCAAGTGAATATAGTTTAGAAAAAATTGTACATTCAATAATTGAACATAATTGAAGAAATATAATATATCTAATACAGCTTTAATTTTAAATTTAATTTTTTTTAAATTCCTAAATCATTAAGATTTATTTTCTCATAACTGTTGGTGTGAAATAGTAAACACAAATGTTTTTTTTACCCACCTGTATTTGATTCCATCCATCATCTAATCTCATGGGCATTGTGCATATAAATGGTTTTACTCTAGTAGTTGATTGATAGTTAGAGGCACGAAATCTTCTTTTTACCTTTTTATCATCTAATACCTGTGTTTAAAACAAAATATTTTCATATGGACAGATGAAGTTCAAAAATTTTCAGTTCAAAAATTCAAACCCTCAGTCGATATAGCAGCACTCCTTGCATGTTCTATCTAATTATCAGTCGATGTATGTAAATAGTAAAAAAAGTTGCGATTAACTTCAACTAAAAGTCATCTAGTCAATAGTCAAAATTAGTAGACTTTAAATAATTGAGTAAAAATCTTAAAGTACTTATATCTTTTTGATTATTTTTATCATTATTTTTGCATTATATTCATTAGCATTATTTATATCTAATTAAACTTTGGTCATGTATTTCATTAACTTTTTTTAATTTTTTGTTTACTTGATGCATATTTTTAGCAATTATTTAAGGCGGTCTCTAAATCATCAGTCGTGGACAGGAAAGGCGTGCGATCGCACTCGATTCCTCACCACGCATTTATTTATTTTTTCTGACAACTTAACCATGGCTTTTTAGATTTTTAAAAACGTTTTAAAAATGCATTTAATAAAGTATAAATTAATAAAGCGAGAAATTACTTTTAAAAATTGTATACTATAAAGACATTTATTTAAATTATCGAAAAATATTATATTGTTAAAAACTTTTTACAATGAGTCAGTGTTTTTAAAACAATTTGCAACTTTTTGATGAATCCATTAATTTAACTGTCAAAAACATAACAAAGTTATTTTAGTTATGTTATGTAAACTTTCTAATAAAATTTGTTTACACAAACGCTTTTAAATAAAGTTTTAAAACGTGATTAAATAAATTATCATAGAATATTCAATAAAACTTTATTTAATTTAAAAAGTTTTTTTTTTTTTTTTAATGATGAATGTAATTTTGTTGAAGCAATTTGTATTCTTAATTTTATTAACAACGATGACAAAAAATGCATTTCAATAAACTATTTTTTAAATACTTTTTGATAATTTAAACAAAGTTAGTTTTTTATTAAATGACAATTAAATGTAAGTTTTTTTTATTTTTTATTTTTTTTTAAATTGAATCTACAATGAAAAAATCTGTGAAGCTGGGAAACCAACCAATCCCTGCTATGGTAGATCCAGTATAGAGGATTACCAAACATAAAAAAAAAAAAAATTATCGGCACATTGAGTTAATTTAAAAGAGTTCGCCTCTTATTATAAAAATATTATAAAAACATTTAAAAAGATCTAAGTTTTATCATTTGTTGCATTGGTTTAAAAAAGTTATAACTTAAATTTTTTGTATTAGGAGAATTTAAAAAATGTCTTTTAATTTTTTCAAATGTTTAATTAAAATTTTTTATATTATTAATCTTTTATTTGTTTAAGTTTTCTTTTTTTTGATTGGTATATAAAAATACATAAATAAATAAAAAATCATGAAAATATTTTTATTTAGACATTAAAAAAAAAAAGAAAAAAGATTTATTTGCTATTCTCCTAATATAAAAAAAATCAGTTACAACCTCGTCAAACTAACGTGACAAGTTATTTAACCTTAATGTTATATAAAATTATTTTTAATTACAAAACATAATTAAAAATAATTTTCTATTAGAGTTTTAGTAATTAAGATTTATATTAGTTGATTTTTTTTTAAAGCTATTGGTTTTTTTTTTTTTTTTTAATTTCTCTTTCATTAAGATTTCTTTCTCTTTTTTTATAGTTTAGCTTGTTTATAATTTTTTTCCTTTTTCAGTTTTTTTTTTAGCACGTTTTTAATTATCTAAAGAGCTGTGGTCAAGCTTAAAAAAAAAATTACATGCATGGTCAAGATTTGAGTGCAATCGCACACCTTTCCTGTCCACAACTGAATCATTGTAGACTGGTAATAAATATATCCGTCGTGGGACCAGCCCTTCTATCATACTATTTTTCTCAATTAGCAAATATAAAAAGTAAATATAAATTATTTTATCATTTTATTTACTATTTATTTCAAAATAATAAAATATATTTGTTGATTTTAGTTGACATTTGAGTTATTTAAAATTTTAAAAAAACAATCAGTTTTCTCAATTAAATTTAATGGTTTTGACATTAAATTTAATTGAGAAAATATATATATATATATATATATTTTCTCAATTATATATATGTTTTGAGATTATATATATATATATATATATATATATATATATATATATATATATATATATATATATATATATATATATATATATATATATATATATTAAAAGTACTTTACTGACAAAACATGGCATAATAAAATAAAAAATTGATAAGTGATTTCTCCAGATTTATATATATGCTTACTGAAAAAAAAAAAAAAAAAAAAAAAAAAAAAAAAAAAAAAAAAAAAAAAAAACAACAACTTACAGTCACTTCAAAGGTAAAATATTTTTTTAAATTCTTTATAATCATAACTAAAAATGGAAGTTTTATACCAAGAGTTCTTCTTTTTGAAGTTGGATCATTTGGACATTCTATGTATGTAGTACTAAATAAAGAAAGGCAATTCAACTTTGATATTATAACAACTTAACTAACTTATTCAATAGAATATAATTTTAAAAAATTATAATTTGAAATACTGAATTTGTATTTTGTGTCATTCAACCATTTTTAGTAAAATCAAATATAATTTTAATAAAAAAATTAATCTTCTTCTACATGTTATTTGACAGGACTCACAAAAAGTGAATCATTTTTTAAATAAAGCAAAAGTATCAATTATTATTTATCAATTTTGAACACTACTTTAATTAATATATGTAATTTAAATGCTTTATCTCAACTTGAAAACAATAGTGTTGAAAAATATATGAATGAGCCACAACATCAAAACATTAATAACTAGAATGACAACATAGATGATGAATCAGGATCCAAAAGCGCAAACATTGAGGGTATTATATATATTTCAGAAAATAGTAATAATCAACAAATAGAGACTATTACTTTATCAAGATTCAATTAGGATATATTAGACCATGCAACTTGGTCTGTTGAAATCGACAGTTTTGAACAAATAATAAAAGTATGTAATAAAAGTAACAATAGTAATAAAATAAAGTAATAATAGTAATAACAGTAATAAAAAAAAAAGTAATAATAATAATAATAACAGTATGTAATAAAAGTAATAATAAAATCAACAGTTTTGAACAAATAATAAAATAATGAAATAGAGCAGTTTTGAACAAATAATAGAGTAGTTTTGAACAAAAAAGAAAGCACAAGTAGCATTGTTAAAAATAAATAAAATAGCAAAAAAAGGAAAAAAGAAAAAGAGATACAACTTTACGATGATGGGAAAGAGGCTCAAGTTTAGCAGATAGACCGGATCCAACTCTGTTTAATAATTAATTAATTCATCGGAATAGGCATCGGTATCTGCCTTTTCCCATCCATCGGCATCGGTATTGGCCAAAAAAGTGATATTGGTACATCACTAATAATTTTTATATCAAATAAAGAAAGTAAATCAACAGACAATAACCATGAGCCTTAGGGCTTTTGGTTGAGTAAAGGATAGAGGTGTCTAAATAAAATTATTCTTTTTGGGAAGATGTTAACAGCATCCAACAGTTAACAACTTGTCAGAGATGTTAACTGTTGGATGCTGATATGTATATATATATACAAGAAGAGTTTATTACTGCGTGGTTTATAAATGTATTGATTAGCTTTATTGCCAAGTTTATTGCTGTCAAAAACCTTGTTGTATTTCTGGATGAAATTAATGTTGAAGATATAGTCAGATTTTTTTGTACTTTTATTTTATTTTTAGTTTTTCAATTACAAGCAACCGGGGTAGCGCACTAGCGCAGGGGGTAGCACACAGGCGCAGGGGTAGCGCACTTGAGGGGATATTTGTTTACTTTGATTTAGATAAAGCTAACTTTAGATAAAATGATTAACTTGAAAAATGTATAATTTCATTTATATCTAATTATCAATTCTGATATTTATGTGAAGATTATATGATGTAAGCAACATAAACATTTAACTATTACAGCATATTTTATTTCAAAATATTTATTTATGCTATAATTTTGTAGAAGTAAATTTTGATAGATAATCTTGCATTTAATATTTTAATAATTTAAATAACCTGTTGATATTATTATATGATAAATGGGCAGAAAACGAGTTGACTGTAGACAAACGATATGCAATATTCACGTTGTGAAAAGAAAAGTGTTCTATGGGTCTAATAGAAAGAAAAAAAATTAAAATTTCGAGTTCAACTGTTTGAAATATTTAAAAAAAGAAAAAAAAACTGAAAGTGTGGTCAATCAAAAATGGACATTGGTTGATCAGGACATTGTCAAATTATATCTGCAATTAAGACAGAAAAACTACAATTACTAGTAAAAAAAATTGATTATTAACATCTCAGAAATTAACCTTTACTTTGAATTTTAATTAAGGAGCTTCAGCTGCTGTTACAACGATGAAGAGGTGATTGATTGAAGCAGGGCTTGCTGGCAGAATAGCTGTAAGAAACCTTTCCTTTGGTCCCTAAATTAAAAAAAAAGACTGGAATGGGCAAAACTACATGAAAAATGGACCATCAATGAGGAAACAACAACGGAAAAGTGTTGTTTGGACCAACAAGTCTAAGTTTCAAATATTTGGTTCCAAAAGAAGATCATTTGTCTAAAGAAAATGCTAATGGACAGATGGTAAAAAATAAGTATTGCCAACTGTGATAGTCAGGGAAAAATGACAAAAGAAATGTATGTGGACATTTTAAAAAGTCATATTATAACTTCAGGAAGTGGAATTATTGGGGAGCCACTCATTTTTCAATAACGATTCAAATCACTCTTTAAAATTTTTTAGGAATTACTTGAGTGAGTTAGAGAATGATCAAGTATTAAATAGAATGATTTACCCTCCCCAATCACCAGATCCTTTTCTTATTGAAATTTTATGGTATGAACTAAAAAGAAATGTAAAAAAGCTAATGCCTAATAGTGCAAAGAATATGTGGAAAAAACCTAATAGTGAGTAGAATAAAATTGACTTCAATAAATCGGAGAAGTTGTTTTAATTTCTCTATTTAAAGTAACTCTATTCTCTATTTAAAGCAACTCATAACTTAATAGTGGTTGCTTGCAATCTTGTTAGAAGTAAATTAGAGTTAAAAAGATTTAAATATATGCCAGTATTTAATAAATAATAAATGTAAGTATAAAATTATAATATATTAAGTATTATAATTTTTTTTCTAGCACCAGCTATTAACCCCTGCTAAATCTTATAATTTTGCCGGGGCAGGGTTAACAAAAAATCTCATTTTCAGCTTTGGACAGGGCCGGGGCCCTGGTCACTTACTACAAACAATATGTATCTTAATAAAACCTAAGCTAAATTAGAAAACATTACCTGTGGAGTTCCACAGGGATCTATTCTAGGGTCTTTATTGTTTATTATTTATATAAACAATATTTACTTATCATTTATTATACTAAACTTCAATCTTTTTGCTGATGATACTCTATTTTTTATATCCATTCTAACATTCAGACAATCTTTACCACTATGAATCATGAACTTGACAACCTCAATGTATAGTTTAAAGCCAACAAATTCTCTCTAAACATAACTAAAAGCAAATATACTCTCTTCTAAATTTTAATAGAAAAAAAACAAGTTGGAACAGACATTCTGTGTTAAAATCTTAGACATTTTGCTCAATGAGCAAATAAGTTGGGAAGAGCACATTAATCTAATAGAAATAAAAAAGTCAGAATTTTGTTTAAAGCTAGATATATGTTGGATAAAAACTGTTTAAATTCTATATGCTTTTCATTTATTCATAGCTATACTAGATATTTTAACATTGCCTGTGCAACCACATAACTGTCAAGACTATCTTGTATTTTAAAAAAACAAAAACAAGCAAGCAACCATATATTAAATGCTAATAAATATACCAGTGCCAATCCACTGATTAAAAAGCTTGGATTGCTGAATGTTTATTAATCAAATATTAATAATTTTTTTTTATTCATGTTCAGATTAAAATATCATATGCTGTTTTATATTTGTGAAGACCTTTTCGTACCTCATAATTAAGCGTTTATTGCTTAATTATGAGGTACGAAAAACTTTGTTGAAACAATTAGAATTCTCAATATCAAACCAAAGGCCACATTTGTGAAACTCATTTCTCACAAATAATAGTTAAATTACAATTTCAATTCAAACTTTTAAAAGTAAAAAAAAAAATCTAAAAAAAACAGTTTTTTTTTATTTTTCAGCTTTTCCTATTGTTAAAAAGGGATATCAGTCTTTACATCATTACTTATCTTTACATTTTTTATTTATTTTGATTTTGTATTGTATTTAGAAGAAAGAAAAAAGAAATGCAACTTTTTTTATTTAAAAGTATTTAATATTATTTTACAGAAATTGTAATATTTTTTTTATATAATAGCTTATTAATTGTTAAATATGTAAATGATACAACAGGGCTATATGATAAGACTTTTGTCTCCTGCCTACTCTCGTACACACACATACGCACGCACGCACACACACACTATTTGTTAGAATATTCATATTATCATTACAATAAATTTAGACATGCCAACAGCACAAGTTAAAAATTAAAAATTGTATTGATTAAATAAGAAAGCTATTTACCTAACATTAGTCCCTACTATTTCAAGAACTAGAGACTGTATATCATTATCAGTAATACGCTTTATATGTCCATTTCTCACCTGAAAATATTGTATAATTTAGAATACAGAATAAATTTAAAATGTAATATTTTCACTAAAATTATTATGTTTAATAAAAGATAAGATACGCTGGTACATTCATATTTTAAAAAATATATTTGCAACCAACTGCACAAACTACATACTTTTTTATCCCATATTTGCAAAGGTTTACTTCCAATACTATAAAGAATTGATAAAAAACCAGATTGAAATGTGTTTTTAAACATTTTTATTGAAAATCTCTGCTTTTATTGAGTAGATATTAAAAATAATGAACAAAATTTATAAATTTTTAGAAAAAACAAAGCTTTTATCAACGGCTAGTCTCGTTGTTGTTTTGTTGTTTGGTTACAGCCGCTACATAGACGTTGCCTCGTTTTAATGAAAGTTTTAATAAACGAGGCACGACCATTTCTCAAATGGGCATTAATGCGCAAAATAAACGGCGTACGATCTCTTCAAAAATTACCGTTTAAATATGGTCAATTTTTTATCGTATTGTTTGGTCGTATGATGTGGTACAGAATTTTTATTCCATATTTTTTAATTCTTTTGCACAAAGAAATAAACACTAGTATATTAAAATTTTTTTAAATATATTAAATTTATAAAAGCTATTAAAATTTACCATTCAAAAAATCAATTTCTAAGAATGGTAACCATTCAATTGTTAAAGTACTTGAATTACCTGTTATATATAAATTGAATGATGTTATAACATTGGAAATTAACTTTTCAATAATTCAAAAAAGCAAAATAAACTAAAATAAAAAACTTCATTATTATAAAAATTTTAAAAAACTATCATTTGGTATTATTTTTACTTTACACAGCCAGTCAAAACATAAATTTTGATATGTTTCAAAAAAATGTTAACAGTTTTGAAGTGCTTCAAAATTGTTAAAAGAGAAGAATTTTGTTTAAGTTACTTTATCTCTCTAATAGATAGATAAATTAGTCTTAAGTAGTCTAAAGTAGTCTGGCTGACTGAGTCTCTACCTAGAGACTGAGTCTCTAGCTAGAGACTCAGTCTCTAGCTAGAGACTGAGTCTCTGACTAGAGACTCAGCCTATATCCAGCAAGGATGCTCAAGATTCGTATCTTGATAGTTTAATAACTTTAAATAATATTTCAAGTAGAAGACCACGAAATATTGATTCAAAAGACTATAATAGTAGTTACAAATATAAAATTTTTGTTACAAATCATTTTACGAGTAAAAGTTCGTTTATTTAGGTTTGCTTTTTTAAGTTTATTTTATTCTTTAGCATAAAAAAAGGAAGGTTAGAGAAAATAAAAGAAGTCTCCTAAACACAGGCAAGTTATATCTTTTTATTAGATACATTAATGGTTATTAAATTCTTATTCCAAATGCATAAAGTTTTCAATAAAATTAGGCATTAAAAATTACAGGTTTTTTTATTATATAGGTTATTCACCTCACGATCAAAGAGTAAAACACAGAAATCATTATAATAACTTTACTACTGAACTAAAAAATAAAGTGATCGCATTTCTACATTCAAACTACGCGACTCTATTTTCCTAAAGAATTAAATATTACTAAGATATTTGACCTGTTTAAAACCAAGTATGGAAATGATAATTTGTTGTATGAATCTTATCGAATCATATTTAGCACTAATTTTAACATTTCTTTTGGATACTATCATACTGACACTTGTTCTAAATAAGATGGGTTTGAAATTTAAATCAAAGCTATAAAAATTGAAATTTTAATTCAGAATGTAAAACACTCTGCCAATAATTAGATGATTTAGAATTACAAAATGTACAACACCACAAAGATGCAGAAATATTATATGTTAGAAAATGAAATGCACGATTCAAAGCACAAAGGGAACAAACCTTTATTTACCAAATCAATCCATCAATGACTTTCACTACAAAATAAAATTAACATTTTATTCATTTGAAATTCATGTGCTTTCAATTAACGAAGTTTTCTTGTATTGTTATGATGAAACAATACCTAGAGCTAAAGTGAAACTGGAGTTTGTAACTGGAATTTTACTCATAAGTATGCAAAATTTTACATATTAGTATGCAAAATTAATTTGTTTAAAATAATAATGCCATCTTTATCTTTGTTAATCAAAGTAAATGCAGTTTTAGGATGGATTGAAATTTTGTTAAACAGTTTCAAAGTGTAAAAGAGTATTGGAGAAATGTGTTGCGTCAGGAAGTATCTGTAACCAAATTCCTTTCTTTCAGGTAAAATTTAATTATAATCATACTTCTATAAGTATTACTTGTGTAGGCTTATTAATAAAAATCTAACAAGTTTTTTCTACGCATGACACATTAATGCACTAGCATTTGACTAGCACATGGGGTCATAGAGGCAGCTTAATGTGACCCAAGTGAGTTGCTGACATCCCGCCCAAGAAAAATTGTCGCTGGGCGTGAATTGGGGCCTAAGTGAGCAGCCCATACGGCCTGCATATGTGGTACTAAAATGGGTCTTATTTTTTATATTATCTAAATTTTTATAATATTTTGAACAACGATTTATTTATATTTGCTTGTGGGTTTATAAAAACTCAAATAGCGTTTCCACTTTCAAAAACTTTTTTATATTTTTTTTTTTTCTTTTTTTAATCTTTTGAAACTGACTCTGTAACTTTTTTGTTTAAGTTCTCTTTAATTTTTAAAGAATTAATTTTCAAAATTTAAATTTAAAAAAATTTAAAACTCAAAATTTAAAAACTTTTAAAACTCAAAATTTAAAACTCTTTTACTACCACTAATACATGACATTAATATAATACATAATATTAATAGAGTTACGGAGTTTTTTTAAATGATTTGACTTTTAATAAAAAAAAAAAAAAAATTCAAAAAAGATTATTTTTTATTCATTGACCAAGTTTTTAAATAAACATGCGGCTAAGTTGACTTAAACGATAAATTTTTTGACTAATTTTTCACGATTCATAATGCCTTACTATCGCACGATCGGATGGCATTTAAATTTAGAAAATTAGATGGAATTTAACGCTTTTTTAACTACATAAATGGGCCCCATGTAGCCCTTGAATACAAAAAATTTTGTATTCAAAAGCTGGCTCACATGGGGCCCATTTTGGGCCCATATATAAAGCCCACATAGGGCCCAGATGGGCAAACCTCTATGGGCCCCAATAGGACATGTTCACTGGGTCTTTGAATGAGCACTTGACAAGTTTAAAACAGTATTTTTTGTTTTGGAAAATGTTTTTCCAACATTTATTAAACTTTAGGCTGCAAAACAATGTTCAATCGTTGTTGGTGTAACCACAGACATCTCAGGCGTAGATAAACTCACTTTTATTATTCAGTATGTAATAAATGATGATAAACCAGTGGAATATTTTTTATTATTCAGAGAGGTCACAGAGCAGCTGATATACATAATCTTGTCAAAAAGAAAATGGAGATACACGTCACCAACGTTACTGATTGCTAGGGGCCGTTGTTTGATAATACTTCCAATATGTCTGTCGTTTACACTAGATTGCAAGCTCGTATCAAGAAACTATATCAAATAGCTGAATATGTTCCATGCACTAGCCATTCTTTAAATTTGTTTTATGTGACCGCAGCTGAGTTTTGTGTGATGGCTGCATTTTTCTTTGGCTATCTTCAACAGCTATACAGCTTTTTTCTGCTTGAATGCATTGCTGAGAAGTTTCCAAATCAAAACTGTAAAATAGTGCTAAGGTTCAAAAAAAATCACAGACCAGATAGTCTACACGCGCAGTTGTTCTGCTCTTTAAACAGACTATTCAAATTGCAATATATATATAACTATCAGAATCAGTTTTTAAGTTCTTAGTTTTTAATAACACTTGTATATTTGTATATATAAAATACACGTTTAAACTTCAGAAATACACGTTTAAACTTTATTTTGTCATAATTTAACCCTAAGAGGGTTGAATAATGACAAAATGCAACACCTAAACATGATGCATTCAAAAAAATAGCTGGAGACGGTGGGTATAATAGTTATCTGGAATATTTTTTTGATTTATTGAAATAGTATAGTATCTGTACAATTTCAATAAATCAAAAAAATATTTCAGATCTCTGTATATTTTCATTCAAAAAAAAGTTGACTAGAAATGAAAAAGTGCGCGCAAAAGCTAACATAACTAATTGATGTCTATTGAGGCATCATACATCACTGGGATTTTAGATTTCTCGTCCGTATTTCAGATATGGGCTCTGTTGCAATCACATTGCCCGCCCAGGAACTTTTAAAAATCTACGCAAACAATACAAATGTTTATTTTTTAAATGAATGTTAATGTTTCCCTTAGAATGTTTGGATCTGCTGCTGTTACATATTGTATCAGAAAAATTTCTTTTTCAACATTAAAAAAAAGTGAAGTACAGGTCTAACTGTGGGTAAAAATGCATACTCGCTCTAACCGCAGCTTTTCTTCAAAATAAAAATTTTCTTCAATAAAATATCAACATGGAAGGTGGGATTAATTGCTTTGGTCAACCATTACCCATAATACATTTGGTGCCCCAAAAAGACTAACTATAGTTTTTAGATGCCTCAAAAAGACCGTTAGTACTTCTTGTTGGCACCTAAAAAAAACAAAAAAATAAATAAAAATACAAACTAACTAATATAGATTAAAATAAAGCAAGAATTAATGAAAATAAAAATAGAATTAAACAAAACTATTTAGGAATGTTTTTTTAAAGAGTATTTTTAAAAATTGTTTGCTCTTACTTTGCATTCCAACATTGAATTGGCTGTACTTAAATTTGAAGCGTATCTTCAGGAATTATATTTCGCAAATCTAATTTTAACTTTCTTCTTAACCTGTGTGTTTTTCATATTCAATCTATGAATGTTGCATAATTTCTTTATATCATTCAAAAAAATGTGTTTAACTTGAACATTAATTAAGCTGGGAATTAATGATTTTAAAGTTGACTTTATTTTTTAAAAGGCGTATAAATAGATTTTTTTTTTTTTTTTATGTAGTTTATTTTGCTGTTAAGGAATGCTTACATAGTATACACATATTTCAAAACTAATGGCTGGAGCATGAAGAAGGCATATTTTGTCTTATCCCATTTTAAAAAATTTTACATAACCGTAACATACAAGTATATATATATAAATAACAAATAGATATAAAGAAGGTCAAAACAACAAAAAATAACGATGTGTTAAAATGATTACAATAGCTGAAATGTTCAAGAAATATATAAAAAAATATACTAAAATAATATATATATATATATATATATATATATATATATATATATATATATATATATATATATATATATATATATATATATATATATATATATATATAATAATAATAATAATAATAATAATAATAAT